AAAATATATATATTATTATCGATTTCAGAGAGGAAGGGCGAGGTAGAGAGAGATAGAAATATCAATGATAAGAGAGAAGCATTGATCGGCTGCCTCTTGCACACCCCACATTGGGAATCGAACCCACAACCTGGGCATGTGCCCTGACCGGGAATCCAACTGTTCATAGGTCGATGCTCCACCACTGAGCCACGCCAGCCGGGCTGCTTATATTATTTTAAAGGGGGAAGACGGAGAGGAAAGTGATTTTTCTCAGCAGCTATTTTAAGTCCATCTGTTCTAAGAATGCACTTGGATTTCATCTACAGGGTCTCCTTCTAGAAGCACCCTGGCCCAGGCTTGCTGGTTAGCAGGGCGTGTTTCTAAGAGGGACCTGCACCTCTTAGAGTGTTTCATAACCCCACCCAGTGCTGGCCTCAGGGCGAAGCTCCTGGGAGCAGGGACCAGGTGCGCCTCCTGGCGCTCTAGAGCCGATCGGAAGCTGGGGAAAGGCTGCAAACACAGTGCCTCGTGGGGTCCTAGACCCATTCACAGGCCTGTCCCCAGCAGACGAGAGCTTTCAGACATCATGTCAACCAGCCATAGGTCCCTGTCCCCCAGGCGACAGCCCTCCCCTCCCATCCACATCCAAGCGAGGGGTGGTGTACTTACAGAGATCAGGTCGAGCTGTATGGTTCCCGTGTTCTCGGGGTCCAGCTGCTTAAATATCCCTGGAGAGGGAGAAAACAGGGTGTCACCCGTGAGCGAGCGGCAGTGACGGGCACGTCATCTCCTTCCCCTCTGGCCGCGGCCTCACCGATCTCCCAAGCCGTCATTTCTTTCCTCCCTCCCCCAACGAGACAAGGATTTCCACCCTCAGCTGGACAGACGGGCCTCTGGTCCCGGCGAGCCCACCCACGTGGGAGGCAGCTGCTCTCGCGCGTGGGGACTGACATGCGTCTTCCCCCAGCGGCCACTTACTGAACAGCGTCTCCAGGCGAATCAAGCAGCGGACAAAGTTATCGAAGTCGATGATGAGGTCGTCGTCGGCGAAGCGAGCCACGATGACCTGGTGGAGCTGGCAGGGCAGCTTGAAACCTGAGGGGAGAGGACGAGCAGACACTGGCTCAGGACCGGACCGCACCCCGAGCTCTGAACACAGGTTGTGGAACGGACGTGGCCCTTTAAATGGCAACTACGATCGCTTCTGTCCCCTGGCCGCTCGCCAAGAAGGCCGGGTTGGTTTTGCAGAACCCGGGCCTTCGACCGTCATCCCCAGACTGTCCCCCTGCACCCTGCCTGGCTCCTCACTGTCCAACAGGGAGGACTTGTCCTGTCTGTTCCCACTTGCACGCTCACACTGTTCCAGGGGGTGAGCCACTGCCTCTCCTGTTTGTTCAGCTCTGCGTCATCTCGGCGACTAGGTTCTGCCTGGGTGCATGTGGCAGAAACTGCTCTTGGTAAACGAATATGATTTCCCTCCAGGAATAGATTTGTTCAGGGTTCCTGGCTTCCTGGGATCAAGGTCACACTTCCCAGCATCCCTTGCAGCCCTCTGGGGCCTGGTGACCACGTTCCGGCTGTGGAATGCATGTGCAGTGACCTGTGTGTCTTTCCCTCCGTCAGTCAGCCCGTTGCCGGGATGGGGGTGTGGTGGCAGGCCACCCTGGGCCCATGGCCACATGCTAAGGGCTGGTGACAGAGCTGCCGGGTCCCTAACAGCCAGGGGCACCCTCCCAGCCTTGAACTTCTTCAGCTTGGGGGTGGGGTGGTTAAGTGAGAAAATGATGCATCTCGTTTAAGCCAGAGATTTGGGGTCTTTGCTAATACAGTGAACCATCTCGCATGGTCCTACCTGTCCCCCCAAACACTCCGGTCTCCCACAAGCTTGTGCCCCTTTTATCCGTGTCCCACTCTGCCAGGGATTTCCCCTAAGAGGCGCGGAGACGCCCCACGTGTGCCTCACCAGCCCTGTACCCCAAAGGGGGAGCTGGGGGACACGGCCGAGAGCTGGCCTTGCCGGCTGGACCCGCCAGGCTTCTGAGAAGGAGACTTAGACGCAAGGCGGCCTCGTGGGCAGAGCATCTGGGCCCCGTTTGGTTTTACCCATCGGCCTTCACGGGGGATGAAAGCGATGGGATTGTACTAAATGGCACCTGCTTTATGTCACCGCTCACCAAACTGCGTGCTGTGTCGTGTGTGTCACACATGCTACCAGCGAGGCATCATCAAGTCTCACCTGCTTCTTCTAAGGCTTTCCGCATCTCATAGGAGTTCATGGTGCCAGACCTGTCCACGTCGATTTCCCGGTAAATTTTCTGGAATGGCAGGTGCAAGACGGTTATGAGAACCTGCCCCAGGGCAGGGCAGACACAGGCCCCTCGGTGCCCAGGGGGCAGGTTTCCCAGCTCCGCGCCCCCCACCCTCCCGTCGGGAGAATCGCCGTTCCTGCCGCCAATAGCTGATGGTATTTTGCCTCGGTGTGAGCCGGTTTGTAAACCCGCACATCCAGGCAGCCAACTACCAGGGGGCCCGTGTTCCTGTCTTACGTATTTGTATTCGCGGGCCGTTAGAATTCCCAAGCACAAGAGGCCACACAGCCTTTGGGGGGCGGCCTGCAGAGACCCCGTTTCTGGTCCGCGGGCCAAAGGCGGGGAACAGACCACTGAGCCTGCGAAGCGCTGCCTTGCGCCCTGGGCATTTGCCGGGGCTGCCTCCACCCATCCTGAGCTCCTGCCCTGGGAGGTGCCCCTGCCCCTCCCGCGGGGCCGCTGTGTCCCCAGGCCCCAGCGCAGCGCGTCCCCACACAACCCCGGCCTTGCCGGCGGCCCTCCCGC